ACCGGTACCATTCAGAATCGTTAGGTGTAAAAAACGATCGTCGAATCATAACGTAAACATGGTACATACTCCCGAGTGTAATTTCATTACATCGAAATGTTGAATGTACATTCATTATACTCATTGGATTCCATTTAATATTGATTAAAATCTCGTTGATTGTAAGTCGTTGTAACGATGTTTGGTGGGAACATTTATCTCTTACAGGGAATGACATAACAATGGGGACACGAGTAAGGATGCTCGACGTTGCAAACGCTCAATGTGCAATTGAGGAACGACCTTAAAAGAAAATACGATTTCATAGATTGGCTTCGTTTCCTTGAGACGTAATTTTATTCAAGTATCGAGTGATTACAAGCTCGCTATTTTCATATCTGACGGATGTACCAAGAGATTGTTACGAGATTATTTAAATCTCGTCCTCGTTATAACCATTGCATCGTCACATCGTGAAACAGATGTAATTTTCGTTTTCAAGTATAGAAGGGAGGGGCAATTTAAGAAGATAGAAAGATCAGAAAGAAGGGGATATAAATATAGAGGATACAATCGATTAGTTCGTAGTTTTAGAATTTTAATTAATTCGTTAGTTCCTGCACGCAAACTTTCATTTCACGAAGAAACACATTTATTTCACGAGAAATTTTTTTGTAACTTTCTGAGGACTTCCGGATGGCTGAGACGTTACTCATCGTCCAGCTCATGGGTAAAGCTCGAGAAAAAGAAAGTATCGTTGAAGATGTCGAACAAAGCGTGCCCAGGCGAGTGATCCAACTCAGTGATTCACTTAATGGATTTTTCTTTCTTCTTTTCCTTCTCGTTTCATCAGCTGATTGGTTGAAGTTAAATTTCCACCTTTGAAAATCTAAAATGGTAAATTCAATAGAATATATATATATATTCTATTGAATTTACCATTTTACCATTTACCATTTTACCATTTATCATTTTACCATTTATCATTTTACCATTTATATATTCTATTGAATTTACCATTTTACCATTTACCATTTTACCATTTTACCATTTTACCATTTACCATTTACCATTTTACCATTTATCATTTTACCATTTACCATTTTACCATTTATATATTCTATTGAATTTACCATTTTACCATTTTACCATTTTACCATTTTACCATTTACCATTTACTATTTTACCATTTACCATTTTACCATTTCATTATTTGGTATATATATACCATTTGATACGTGTGAGTACATGATTGGGAGAATAACATTCACGCGTATAACTTAACTTAGGGTTCGTTGATCACGAAATAACGGCGTTGATAGCTTTTCATTAGTGAATCAGTGGGCGAGCGTAATTCAATCGACGAATCGAATCGTCGTAGATGCAAAACAGTTTAATTCTACGGGACGACTAACCCGTCGCAATTTTATTTCACATCTCATCAAGAATATTTTTTATCTCCAATTGCCAATCGGTTGCATTATTATAATTACGCGTGCAATTGAATTATAATCATGTCTGTTGAGAGAGCTGTCAGTTATCTAGTGAGAAGCACAATCCGTACCGAGGACAATGAAAAATTGTCGATAATTGAAACTCTGTAGAAAAAGATTGTGTAACGATCCACTTGGTTGCCATTTTAAAGCGTGAAGCTTCTACCGTGAGCTTGTGTTTTTCGAAGATGATTACATGTCGATTTATTTTTCTCCTCGAAAATTGCGAAAATCCAAACACTGGAAATTTTCTTTTCACGACTACTTGACGATTGAAATTTTCTCTTTACAACTGCGCGACTTTTCTTTGCCAGTTTTCTTGAAACGACAAAAATCCAAGAAGAAATCCTAACTTCCCGTCATCAAACTGCAAAGTTTAAAAATAGTAAGAAGAATCGTACAGCGAGTTTCTGAAAAATGGTGACGGATCTAATTACCATTTTAATTACGTTCTTCTTACACGCGTTGGAACTTCACTTTGACACGTATGTAAAGTCATTTTCGGGTCATTTCCTTTTCTTTCTTTTTCACAAAGTTACATCAGTATTATTTAAATTATCGACAATTCTTCATTCGTCAGAGTTATGCTCTCTTCATTGCGAAACTTCCACGTCATATAATTCTATACAAGTTATATATAGTTATAGATATTTCGTCCATTTTGTGTATCCGATCGAGTACCATCCCTTCCTGCTTTGCCAACAGTTGGATCAAAAAAAGGTCCACGTTTAGCAAAAGATTCAGTTCATCGCGAACTCTCGTCATATGGTCGCCGTCCACGATTCCACGATGGTCGTGTGTCCACTTATCGAACGATGATCTCTGTTTGAAGTGCAGGGAGCGGTGTTGCACGTGGGTGCATCCATCTTGCATGAATCGAATCCCATCGCGACGATTCCCTTGGCTCGTTTTGATTCTAACGCACTCGTAAGCCTATTACCGGGCTAAGCAAACAGCCTGGCTAATCGGATTGAGATCAAGAGTGCTTGCTTTCGCACGTTTTAACCATTAGCCCAGTCCGATTGCCATCGCTTATGCCACCGAGGGAGGCAGCAGAAGTGTCCTCAAGTTCGCATTATTTTCATAGCGGTTCGTGAATTGGTTCGTGATCGTTACAGCTGCGAGATTCGTTGTTGTTTCGCGAACGGTTCCAACTATCTAGCCTCAGCAATGATCGTTGGCTCGAGTACGTGACAATATTTGCTTGGTCTTGAAACGCGTTTCTGCTAACCACGCGCCAGACCCGATATCAAATATCGCGTTCTAGAGTACGCGAAGAGAGATGTTGCTAGACGGAGGTTGTCGAGCTGGGCTAATAATTCTACTCAGTCGATATATTCTTCAGTATAAAAAAAAAACTCTCGCGTCTACTAATTATCAAGCGTAACTTTGACTCTGACTCAGTTTCAGAAATTCAGTCGCACGCGGTGTGAAAATTCCGCTTGCGTAATTTCTTTTAGAGAAAGAAGGAAAAGAAACTTCGAAAGTTGAAAAGTTCGTGCGTCTCAAATATTGAAGAAGTCTTTCCTTAGTTCGTTAATTGCAACATGATCTGCTGCTTACACAATTTTTTTTTTTTTTTCTTGGGGGGGAAAAAAAGGAAACACGGTGAGAAAACTTCTTATTAAAAATTCATACGCTCTGAGAATCCCGTATGCATGAGATCTACAGTTTTATAACTTCTTGCCAGAATTCCTTGGCTAGAGTAATATATGTACATTTGTGTAATATACCTTGATCAATAAAATCTGTATGCAAAGAACGTAGAGTTTTTTTTGCCTGAAAAGGAAACTAGATGCCTTCTGCGTAATAATGCGATATCAATGACAGTATCTACATGCGTGGTACGAGTTTCATAAAATTTATTCTTAAAAAAAAAAAAAAAAAAAAAAAAAAAGGAAAAAAGTGCTTACATAACGATACGAGTTAATTTCCTTCCTGTACACAATTTCAAACACATCTCAGCGCATTATCATTTACAATTCAAAGTATAATGCCAATATTTTCTCTGTTCAGTGGATCGAATAAACGATGATACGATGAAAAGGTGGGATTAAAAACAGAAATCGTTCGCTTGGGAATCCTCGCACCCCATATTCTCTCTCACTCGAGGACGAGGACGATATTTACGATATCTGCGGTTTCACAGGGTGTAGCGGTCTCGGTGATCTCGTTGAGGCTTGTTATCTAGCTCACGAGTATTTTTAAACCTTGGGTTTTCACGTGTTTCCGTGTTTTTTTTTTTTTTTTTTAAACGAGATAAAGTCACGGCCTTATTTTTTTTTACTAAGTAAGCGTCTTGCATTTGGTTTATCAGTGACAAAAATTTGACGATAGTGGATAGTGGATTAAAATACGGTGATCTCTCTTCTCACTTGATCTTGTGACGCATTTTATTGATTATTATAATTTCTAAAATTTTCTTTTTACACCCGCAGATAACTTGTACTATCGTGTAAAGATTATTAAGTGAAAGAAAGATAGGAAATTTTTGAATGAAAACATCATATAGAATTTTATTAACATGCCGAGAATAAATAAATTCTGATAAAAGAAAAAAAAAAAAATTGAGAAGTTCAATCGAGCAAAATAATTAAATAATTAGACACTGACAATGAGTATCTTCTCATATGCGACGAGAATAAAAAAATATTTTTCCTCGACGAGAAAGGTACACATCGATGGGAATGTTTACAGTGTCTAATTATTATTAAACTATGTTTCCATCCCCCAAGTCATTTAGTAAAATTTCATCCGCGTGCAAAGCTTGAATCATGCAGCCCCTGTGCTTCACGTACAATTTCTAAATCAGCTGAATTTGCTGATACAACTTGTACGAAGGAAGGAGATCATTTTTTAGACGACGAAAGAACGTGCTCCTTTAGCGAATTTAAATGCACGTACTCTTTGTCCTGGAGAAGCGTATTTCAATACAAAAACGGACGTTCAATCGCGGATCATTTCTCCTCAGCCTTTTAAAACCTATGGGTACAAGCAACTTCTCTTCATCAGAGGAGATCCGACTGGACAAGAAAAGAGACGGAGATGGAGATGGAAACGAAACAGAGAGAAGACTTTCTCAACCTCGGGTTCTTGATCCGTTGGCCGGTTCTTAGGGGTGACGATTTAGTTAGGGGTAGATCCGCGGCCTCGTGCTAGGGGAGAGTTCGTCGGAGGGTTCTGATATAAAAGATTCGTTGGGAACCGAGGCCAAGATTCGATCACATGCCATTGTAAGACCTGGACTCTGTTCTGTCAGGCGGTCGTTGCCAGACACTAGTTGCCTTCTATTTTTTTCTTTCCCTCTTTTTTTTCTTTCTTTCTTTCTTTCTCAAGGCCAACGACTCCTCGGGGATCTCTCGAGGTCAAAGTGCTCGTCCTCTGGGAACATTTGCAAATCTCCAGAAACGCCATGGTGGTCCATACGTAATTATCGTTGGGACGAAATCTAAAATTTCCCGACGGCTTTTCTATTCTTCAGCACATATTTTTCTCTCTCTGTTTTCTTTCGTTCACTTGTTCGTTCACCATGAAACATTCTCTGAAGCACACATTCTCTTAACACCAGAACCAATCGATGATTACCATCAGAGAGACACTGAAATAAAACAAAAAAAAAAAAAAAAAAAATAAAGAAACTTTATACAATGGAGTATACTAAGCTTCCATTTATACATACATTGTTCTACACTTAACATTACAGAGATTACAAATTGCTCGTTTTCGCCACTTTTGGCTGTTTGATATACCGAAGAGAAAGTTGATACAATGTAACAAATCTTAATGTTCAGTCTTTTATTATTTCTTCAATTTGTTTTATTTGCCTCTTCTTTCGTATTTTTGCAGAAGCGCGAAAAATCGGCGGGAAAGAGGATGGACCGACTGCGACGGAGCTTTCGCGATAGCTTCCGACGGCGAAAAGATCCCCACGTACCGGAATCGAGTAAGCCGCATCAATGGCAGGCAGATGAAACGGCTGTTCGCTCAGCTACCTGCGCTTTCCACGTTAAGGTGAGGCCTCCTTCCAAAACCGGTTTCTTCGTCTATCAGTTAAACTTGATATTTGCTTTTTACCAATAAATAAGCTACTTCATCCATCACTTAAACTTAAAATTTGTTAATAAAAAAAGCTGCTTAATTTGTCAGCTAAACTTGAAATTTACTAATAAAAGAGCTGTCCAATCTATCAGTTAAACTTGGAATTTGCTTTACCAATAAATAAGCTACTTCATCCATCACTTAAACTTAAAATTTGCTAATAAAAAAGCCTGCTCAATTTGTCAATTAAACTTGAAATTTGCTTTGCCAATAAATAAGCTGCTTCATCTATCAACTAAACTTGATAGAAATAAACTTGAAATTTGCTAATAAAAGAACTGTCCATCTATCAATTAAACTTAAAATTTGCTTTGCCAATAAATAAGCTACTTAATCTATCAGTTAAATTTGAAATTTGCTTTGCAAATAAATAAGCTACTTCATCCATCACTTAAACTTAAAATTTAAATAAAAAAAAATTTTAATAAAAAAAGCTGCTTAATTTATCAGCTAAATTTAAAATTTGCTTTGCCAATAAATGAGTTACTTCATCTATCAACTAAACTTGATAGAAATAAACTTAAAATTTGCTAATAAAAGAGCTGTCCAATCTATCAATTAAACTTGAAATTTGCTTTGCAAATAAATAAGCTATTTCATCTATCAGTTAAACTTGAAATTTGCTTTGCAAGTAAATAAGCTGCTTTATCTATCAACTAAACTTGATAGAAATAAACTTGAAATTTGCTAATAAAAGAGCTGTCCAATCTATCAATTAAACTTGGAATTTACTTTGCAAATAAATAAGCTACTTCATGTAAACTTGATATTTGCTAATAAAAAAAACTGCTTAATTTGTCAGCTAAACTAAAAATTTGCTTTAACAATAAATCAGCTACTTCATCTATCAGCTAAACTTGAAATCTGCTTTACCAATAAATAAGCTACTTCGCCCATCAGCTAAACTTGAAATTTGCTTTTTCCAAACTTAGATTGCTAGAAAAGTATTCGCACGGACGAGAAGTTGTAATCGAAAATCGAGCAGCCAACAACTGTAAAATTGGCACGTAGTTGGACAATCGATGCTCCAATAACAAGCATCCTGTTATACTTTTCTTGACGCACTTATGTCTCTTGTATGTCTTATCATTCCCAATGTGTCGTTCAAATGAACAAGCCTCTTCTTTTACATGCCTCACTTTTATTATTATTCCGTCCAATTAATTTTACATTTTTTTTTGCAATACAGTACCTGGGATGTGTCGAGGTGTTCGAGTCAAGGGGTATGCAAGTGTGCGAGGAAGCTCTGAAAGTACTCAGGGTAAGTTAAAATTGCCAAGAGGAGGTGTCTTTGCTGGGTTTTCAACCAAGTCATAGAGACAATGGATTTTTACCAAGACGCAAAATTCTTGCAGAATTCGAGACGGCGGCCTGTACGAGCGGTGCTGCACGTATCGGGGGACGGTTTGCGGGTGGTCGAGGACGAGACAAAGGGACTGATCGTCGATCAGACGATAGAGAAGGTTTCCTTTTGTGCTCCGGATCGGAATCACGAGAAGGGGTTCAGTTACATCTGTAGAGACGGCACGACCAGACGGTGGATGTGTCACGGTTTTCTGGCGTTGAAGGAATCGGTACGTACAAAGTTAAATTACCAGATGTAAAATCGGGGAGAGAAATAATTTTATTGTTGAGAAAAAAAAAAAAAAAAAA